TGTTATTGCTGTTTGTGACTATCTATGTGGGTGAAATTCATTCGGACTGTGGGATGGTAGGGCAAGAGGAAGCAGTTTCATTGGTTCTGTGGTGTGGACGTCATAGGCAGCCAGCTCTGCCACTCAGTAGACATTCTTTTGGTGCCTCTTCTTGTGCCTCATGTCAGCATTCTCGGCCTCACCTCTTATTCCAGCCACTTCCTCAGAGTCTTGTTGGGTATAAACTCGTCTGGTTTGGCTATGGTCATCTCTCTGATCCTTTCATAGGCTTTCCCGCCTCTGGCCACTCCAGAAGGACTCGAGGGATGGAAGGTGATGGATGAAAGTGCTTTCTCTGTTTCCTTGGTGAATGAAAGTTCTGAGGCCTGATCACCACCAGAAACCTGTGTTACTCATAGCAAAGGCTGATTTGCTCATGGACTTGTATTGATGTTCCTTCCCCAGGCCCCTCACTCCTCCATGGGATTATATTCCAAAATGAAGTATCTGCATGCAGGCCTTTACTTTACTCTTTGTTTTCAGGCTAATGAATACTATGATCTTGGAGAGGTAACTTATTCTCAGAGCTACAATTTTCTCATGCATAAATTTGGAGAGGGTAGTATTTACTCTCTTTCTATGTACACACACACACACACACACATATATATAATTTTTTTTTAGGATTTAAACTATGTAATTTACTCATTCACCAAATATTTATCAAAACTCTGTGGGTTCAACACTTAAGTATTCTGTCACCAGGCTCCTTACATGATATATAGTAAAAAACAAACCCTCAAGAGAGGGAGGGCTACTGCTGCTACCCCCATCACCACAACACCCTGGAGAGTACTCCCAACTCCAGCTCACTGCCATCAGGTCCATGCCGACTCACAGTGACCCCAGAGGACAGGAGAGAACTGCTCCTGTGGGTGGGTGTCTGAGACTAACTTTTATGGGAGGAGAAAACCTTATCTTTCTCTCACACAGCAACTGGTGATTTTGAACTGCTGACCTTGTAGTTACCAGCCCAACTCGTAACCCACCACATCCCCATGCTTATTAATGTTGGTTGGATGATTGGTATCAAGTCCTTAATTTAGTCATTTGGTGACATGAAATTAGGAATGTAAAGCAAGGAGGTTTGAGAGGAAGAGGAAGTGGTATAAAATAAAAACCTGGGGAGCATATTAATTATGCTTTTCAATTAGAGACAGTATGATTGCTGGTCAGTATTGACTCTCAGTGTGAGATTTGAGGCTATGAATATGTAGAGAAATCTTACAGCCCGGTTGTGTGGTTTTCTAAAGTAATATTGAGTTGCGCTGTGGCAAGCAAATAAGGGTCAGGAAGAATCTGATCCCTTTCTCAAAGAGAGATATAGACCCTTGGTGCACCTAGCTCATCCCTTGGAGTAAATACAAGTGTTGATGAGAAAGGCCTCAACTCACTGCTATCGAGTCAATTCCAACTTGTCATGACCCTGAAGGACAGAGTAGAAGCTGCCCTTGTGGGTTTCTGAGACAGTGAATCTTTACAGGAGCAAAAAGCCTCGTCTTTCTTCTATAGAGTGACTGGTTAATTACTGACCTTGCAGTTAGCATCCCAACTCATAACGCACTATGCCACTGGGACTCCATGGAAGGGCCGTTTGGTTCATTTCCTGCTCTATCTTAGGCCATTCAGAATAATAAGGGAGCTGAGTCAGAATCGACTCGTGAGTTTGAGTTTAGAGTGCTCTGCAGGAGTGTGGTGGTGGTGGTAACAGCAGCTTTCCCTCTCTCTCTCAGTATTCTTTATTTCTCACAATACTTGGAGGTGGGTTTTAATATCCCCATTTTGTAAATGAGACAAACTGAGGCATAAATTGCTCAAGATGGAATTTAAGAGGGTCCAGCTCAGAGCCATCGTGCTAGCTTTTCCTACTTTCAGGTCCTAAGCAGTGGGGAACGAACCCTTTGTTAGCACTGTTAGCTTTTAGAGTCCATAAAGCCTTGAGTGTATCTTGGCCACGAAGAGAAGATCATAGGGTTCTAATTCAGATGTTTGCGAAACCTTACCAGAGAGGAAACAATTGGACTATTTTTATGTACTTAAGCAATAACCACAATATCAACTGTAACTGATAAACTTATCCGCAGGGGATTTCTTTGGAGTGCAAGATTAGAGTACCTTGGACAGTCTGAGAATACTGCTAATCATGACTACTTTTCTGTGGTCTTACTATTGATTATCTGAACATTTCTTATGAGCAAGGCGCTAGACTTTCTGATCTATAGATAGAAGATTAAGGGCATGTTCCTGCTCTTTAGGAATCTTTAATATATTGGGGCAGGCAACACATATACAGAGTTCTACTTAAAGTATTGTATGCAAACAAAGCTGCAGATGAGAGTAAGCCTTAGGCCAAAAGTAAAGTGGAAATTGAGCTATCATTTGAAGACTTCATAAAGGTTAGATAAGGGAGTAAGTGTGCTGTTGAGAAAATGTTTTGAGAAACGATGTACAAATGCGCTTTACACAATTGATGTGTGTATGGATTGGGATAACCGTTGTATGAGCCCCTAATAAAATGTTAAAAAAAAATTAAAAAAAAAAAAAAAATATTTTACAATATATATATATATATATATATATATATATAAAGAATCAATTATTTTCTTTTAACTTTATTGCGAATTAGGTGAAGGTTTATGGAGCAGATCATAGGTTTACATTCAGCAATTAGTGCACATTTTGCTTCAACTTATCTATTGCAATCCCTGCAATATACCCTCACTTATCCTACTTTCTCCCTTTGCTTCCTATTTCCATTCCTCTTTCTTTCTTAACTTCTAAACTTTGATGTTGGGTAAATACTGCCCTTTGTTTTTCAATGAGGTTCAGTGTTTCTGCTATTCTTTTATAACCAAACCTCCTGTACCACGTGGGTTCTGAACACTGGTGTGTTTATGAACTGTGGATAGTCCATACCAAACCGGCTACTGACGAATGCGGCCACTAACTGTGGTCCTGTGTGTGACAGAGTAGAATGTCCTATATAGGGTCTTCAGTGGCTGATTGTTCTTGACAGCAGATTGCCAAGCCTTTTTTCTGAGGTGCCTCTGGTTCTATTTAAACTTCCAGCTTCTGGTTAGCAGCTTTGCACATTGACTGTTTGTATCACCCAGGGATTATAAGGTTATTTCTATAGAGAGTAGTAGGAGTCCTAGTGTAGTAGTGGATTACGAGTTGGCTGCTAACCAAAATGTCAGTGGTTTGAATCCACCACTCACTCCATGGAAACCCAAAGGGTCAGTTCTGTTGGCCTATAGGATCCCTGTGAATCAGAATTGACTTGAGGATGGGGAGTCTGAGTTTGATCTAGAGCGCTTATTCCCATGGAGAGAAAGTTGCTTCAGTGGTTTTATAGAACTAGATTCATTATGCTTTGAGCACCCACTATTGGATGGGCACTCTAGCTAACCATGTCTACATTGTTTCATTCTCACAATTCCCCTGTGATTTTTTGACGTGATCAGAGGAGGCAAGTGATTCTCAGAAAGGTCAGGAAATGTGTCCAAGGGCAAACAAAGGACGTGTCACAGCAAAGATCAAACTTTGGTTTTTCAAACTCCAAGTCTAGGACCCTTTCTATTCTTGCAGCCTTTCCCCTTTCCCATAGGTCAATTCAGTGTGTTGCGTCAGGTGCTGGTTTTCAGTGCCTGAGCAAGGAAAGCGTGGAAATACTATTGGGGGAACTGAAGGAAGACCAGGAGGGAGAGCAGGGGCTGCCTGCATGTCTACCAAGAGTGTGCATTTTGATTTAGTGATTGATATGTTAGGATGAGATGTCTCTGAGTCAGGAAACACTGGTATTGTCTCTCAACAAAAATGTTGAGCTTCATTTTTTTCCCCTCCCTCCCCACTCCCCCCTCCCCCCTCCCTCATGAGCCCTTGATAGTTTATAAATTGTTATTTTGTCATATCTTGCCCTGTCTGATGTCTCCCTTCACCCACTTTTCGGTTATCTGTCCCCCAGGGAGGAGGTCACATATAGTTCCTGTAATGTCAGGGGTTTAAGTGGAGAGAAAGTGTTTTGAGAATGATGTACAAATGCGCTTTACACAATTGATGTGTGTATGGATTGTGATAACAGTTGTATGAGCCCTTAATAAAATGTTTTAAAAAAAAAAGAAAAAGAAAAAAAAAAGTTGAGCTTAAATAAAACATAATTTGCTTCCTTTCATACCAGTAAGTAGAGTGAGGTGGTTATAATATTTCTAAAATATTCCAGATGTCCTTGGACAGTGTATTTACATCATATTATTGTTGTTAGGGTCTGTTGACTTGCTTTCTGTGCATAGTGACCCAATTTACAACAATGATCCTGCCCGGCCCAGCTCCATCCTCACAATCAGTCCTCTATTTGAGCTCATCATTCAGAGATGGTGACTCATCTCACGAAGGGTCTTCCTCTTTCCCTGGCTCTCTCCTATACAAAGCATGATGTCCTTTTCCAAGGACTGGCTCCTCCTGATGACATGTCCGAAGTATGTGAGAAAGTCTCGCTGTACTTACCTGTAAATGACAAGATCAAGGGGCAAGAGGAGTGGGGTTACTTTGGAACAAGTCATGGAAGTCATCTCAGGCTCTCAAAGTAGGAATGCCTCAGGCTGCAGGTGCCCACCTGATGGAATATCCCAGCAGAGGGATTTAGCAGAGTTCACACTTTCAGCTTTTTAAATGTTCATTTAATAAATATGTTTATGTATGTGTCTGAGTCCTGGCCATTCTCAGAACTAACAGGTTGATTTGATAGCATACACACACACACCCGTGCGTTCGTTTCCCAGGGTACGCTGGTCATGGACCTTTGCAGGTAGATGCTTTGAAAATACAGGTTAATAAGAACTGCATTTCAGAGTTTCTGGATTTTGCCTTAAATTTCATCCAAAAGAAGTGTATTCCCTTGGTTTTCAGCCTTTTTAAGTCCCAGGAACAGTCATACCAAAGTGTTTTTCTTTTTTCCTCTCCAGATAAGGCACCTCTGTCTAAGAGTCTTCTACTGGTTCCCAGTGCCCTGTCCCTTTTACTGGCCCTTCTCCTGCCACACTGTCAGAAGTTCTTCCTGTATGACCTCCAGGCTGTTAAAAACGACTTCCAGGTGAGCTGGCCTCATTGGCGTCTGAGAAGGGGAAGGGGCCGTTTTGTTTTCACTAACTTTTCTGCCTCGACTACTAGTCACCCAGTGCCCCTAAATTGGTAAGAAATCCACTTTAATTAACAAGACAGTTCTGGTTGTTGTTGGTTGGAGAGCAGGCTCTCGAGAGTGCATTAGCTGAGGACCCTCACTGGCATAGTGGTTACAATTTCCGCTGCTGAATACAGGGTCCAAAGTGTGAAATCACGGGATGCACCATAGGAGAAAGATAAGGCTTTCTACTGCTGCAAAGAGTGAGGGTCTTGAAAGCTCACAGGGGCAAGTCTGCCCTGTCCTTTAGGGCCACTATGAGTTGGAATGGACACAATGGCGGTGACTTTGTTTGGGTTTGGTGCTGGTTTAGGAAAATGGTAGGTGGGTGAGTGGATGCCACTCTTGTCAGCTGAGGGGTGGGGGTGGGGTGGTCGATGGGTGAGTGTGGGCACAGGAGTATACTTACTGCTCCTCATTGAGTATGCAGGGGTGGATACGACAGGGTTTAGGCTAAGGGGGCGCTAGCATTACGGTTAGCCCACTGGGTGGGGGAGTAAGAGCAAGGAGCTTTCCACCCCTGGTTATGGGAGGGCAGGGGACGGGATATGTGCTCCTCTGTCACCAGATGTGCGTGCCATGGCACTTCCTATTGACTGCAGCTAGCAGATGAGTCTTGGTCCTGATAAAGTGCGAGATGAGGTGCAGGATGCCCGGAGTCAGCATAGATAGGGGAGCTCTTGTCAACAGTGGCTGGATCTGATACTTCGTGTGTACTACATTCTAATGGTCAGGGAGCATTGTTGGTAGGGGTACCAGTTCTGAGGTCCTGGCTCCCTTCTTGCTCTGGATCCCAGGATCCCTGGAGCTCTCGCCTTCCTCCCTATATTTAACTTCCTTACAGCCAAACCATGTTCTGTTCACCTTGGTTCACCATGGTTATGTCTAGACAGTTTCTCTGCTGCTTCTTGGGAGTTCTGTGAACTTGCCTTCCTATGCTTCTCTTTTGGGTCAGCACTGGCTTTGACTCCAGGTGGCCAGGCTGTAGTACCTCTATTCGATTTGTCAGGTGGGAGACACCTCGGTGTTTGGCTTAGCACAAGAAAGAATTCACACCGAAGCCTGGTTTGTGATCCAAGTGAGTTTTTATAAAGGATGGTAGAAGTTTCAGGTTTTACAGTCTCTGAACACAGGCAACCTCATGGGACTGCGCACCCACGCGTGGTAACTTGAGGCCAGAGAGACCATGTCTCAGCAGAGCAGGCACAAGACAGGAGCCGAAGGGGAAGAAGGGAAAAAGGCCTTGGGGCCTTGGGGTCTGGGTAGTTGAGGCCTCTGGCTAGGAGGTGTGGTTGAAGGTATTGGTTGACCCCATTGGCTGAATTAAGCCCACTTGGGCCTAGTTTGGGCCGCCCAGGTGAACCACCCACCTGGCTCGGGCTTGAATTGGTGCATGCCCAGGAGTCTTTATGGCTGGCTAAGGGCTCGCCTGATTCTCTTCCAACCTCCTGTAGGGGGGTGGCCTTCAGACATGGAGAGGGACAACCCCCTGGTCCTTGTTTCTCCCTACCTAGCACCTCACTCCAAATCATTAAAATTTTTTTTTTTTTAGATCATTTCTTATTATTGACTTTGTTCAGTTTCTTCTTTCACTTGGTGTTTGATCCAGTTATTATTTTTTTTAGACAGTTTATTAATGCAGTTTCCCCCATAGCAAGACACAGAAAGAGAAACTGGTAAAACAGTCACATTAAAAAATTATGACCCTTACATCTGATCTTTATGAATATACAGAAAATAAACCATCCTATTGAGTCGTCCTTGGGCCACGAGGAGGCAGTGGTACAAAAGCTGGTTTTGCCGTCTTTTTAAAAAAAATAATTTTATTGGGGGCTCATACAACAAGTATTGCAATCCATACATCCATCCATTGTGTCAAGCACTTTTGTACATTTGTTTCCCGTTATCATTCTCAAAGCATTTGTTTTCTACTTGAGCCCTTGGTATCAGCTCCTCGTTTTTTCCCCTTCCTTCCCCACTACCCCCTCCCCCATGAACCCTTGATAATTTATAAATTATTATTATTTTGTCATATCTTACACCATAGGACATCTCCCTCTTTACCCACTTCTCTGCTGTCCGTCCCCTAGGGAGGAGGTAATATGTAGATCCTTGTAATCTGTTTCCCCTTTCTCCCTCACTTTCCCTCCACTCTCCCGGTATCACCACTCTCACCACTGGTCCTGAGGGGTTCATCTGCCCTGGATTCCCTGTGTTTCCAGTTCCTATCTGTACCAGTGTACATCCTCTGGTCCAGGTAGATTTGTAAGGTAGAATTAGGTTGATCCATTTCTTTATTGTTCTTTTTGATCTTCAGGATTGTTGGATTGTCATTTGCATCTGAATCACTTAATTCCTTGGTCTGTGGTATAGAAGGATGGCCTAGTGCAGCGGTTCTCAACCTTCCTAATGCTGTGACCCTTTGATACAGTTCCTCATGTTGTGGTGACCCCAACCATAAAATTATTTGTGTTGCTTCTTAGTAACTGTAATTTTGCTACTGTTATGAATTGTCATGTAAATATCTGATAGGCAGGATGTATTTTCATTGTTACAAATTGAGCTTAATTAAAGCATTATGATTAATCACAAAACAATAATTATATATTGTGAAATATTTATTTCTCATTACAAATAAATGAAATTTTGGCTTGAAGCATGGTGTAACATGGCTAACAGTCTTCATGCTAGGTACTTGTATGTGGGTGTATCTGCGTGTATCTCCTGTTTGGATAGATGGTTCCTAAGACCATCGGAAAGACGCGTTTTCCAATGGTCTTAGGCGACCCCTGTGAAAGGGTCGTTTGACCCCCAAGGTGGTCACAATCCACTGGTTGAGAACCTCTGGCCTAGTTTGTCAAAGCTGCCATCATGGTCTTCCTCCAAAATGGTTGTTTGAAAATCATGTTTCAAGTTTGTCCTTGAGCATAATTATAAAATATAATTTATTTAAAATGGTGGCTATTAGTTTTACATTAACTGGGGAAATAAAACTAACCAGTTAGTTCATAAACCCAATTTGTTATTTTTTTGTAATCTTTGGAGTCTGAACTTCTATAATTCTCCAGGTTTTGCCAAGTTTGGCTTCTTTAGTTTGAACATCACGTAGTGATAGAGAAGTGGACCTGCCTTTCATTACTTCTCAGTCTGCTGTTCTGCGAAGATGACAATCATTTCATCTTATGTTGGTAAAGTGCTTGATGGTTTACAAAGCACTCCCATGAGTACTGTCTCATTTAGTTGTGTTTGTTGTAATAAAGACTGGGAATGGTACCTGTGTGATACATGTGTGCTCGTGACAGTCACCACTATTGAACCCTGATACAGCTTCCACAGGCACTCGCAGCCACCTCCATTTTGGCTAGATTGACAGATAACTTGAAAGGTAGTGGCCACCCTGAACTTTGGATACGCTGATGACAAAGACGCCGACTGGTATCTTGCTTGGAGTAGTAACAAATGTGAAATTTATGACAGTTGATATAGTCAGTTTTTTAAATTTGTTCTTTTGCTATTTCTCTTGATAAAAGTATGGGCTGTATGAATTTAAATAATTAAAATACTTTCTCTGTTCCTCTAAAGATAGGATTTACAGACACACACACACATACACACATATATTTACCCATCTTATAGGTGATTGTGAGGGGAAAATAAAATATTCTGTAAATATTATTGAGTTTGTCTTTACAAATTTGGAAACTATTTAGGAATATTCAAATTTAGCCTTCCAGTGGCTCATTCGTCTTTGTATGCCCATTACTGGTTTTCACCAAAAATTTATTTAAATAAATTAAAAGTCAATTTATTAAAACATTGCAAGCCAAGTAGACATGAGGCTTCAAAAAAGTTATGGAAAATGTAATGAAAAGATAATGGAATTTTCCCCAAGACTTTTTGAAGCTTCACATTTTGTAAGAGGTGCCATAAATTGTCTTCATGGTTGCTATGACTTAAGATGATCCTTAGGAGCCCAGGTGGTATAGTGGTTACACGAAGGGCTGCTAACTGCAAGGTCGGCAGTTCAAAACCATCAGCTACTCCATGGGAGAAAGATGGGGCTTTCTACTCCCGTAGAGTTATAGTCTCCAAAACCTACAAGGGCAGGTTTACTCTGTCTTAAAGGGTCACTATGAGTCAACATTGACAATGCCAGTGAGTTTGAGTTTGAAAAGGTGATCATTAAAATGTAAGCTCAGGAATGTGTAATTTTTATTTTGGGGCTTATACTGAATTTTTTTTTCAGTTACAGCTTTGTTTAATCCAATTGTATAAAAACGAACATTTCATAGTTTTCATTCTAGCTCATGTATATAATTAAAATGTTATCTCCTAACAAATATAGACCTAAAATGTTTTGCAGGAAGCTTTGTATTATCTTAGTGAAAATACATTTTATTTCTATAATCAAAAGATTTTAAAATACACTTTGTGCTTTGTAGGAAAGACTTTCATATGAGAAAGTGGCACAAAATTTTTAGGAAAAACATAAAAGCAATTTTCCTTTTGTATGTACAGCAATATTTTGCTTAAAATTCAAATAAAATAGTATAAAGAAGATGTGCTGAGGAAAAAACCTAAACACTTTTTAAAAGCTGTTATTTATTGTTCTTTTTAAATCCCCATCTAGATTTGGAGGTTGATATGTGGAAGAATAATCTGCCTTGATTTGAAAGACACTTTCTGCAGTAGCCTGCTTATTTATAATTTCAGGATATTTGAAAGAAGATATGGCAGCAGGAAATTTGCAGTAAGTTTTTATGTGTGTTGCCTTTGCTGTAGGGGTTACATGAAAAGAACTACTTTGGTTTTCTTTTCCTTAAAGTCGATTTATCTTGTTAAATCTTATATTGTTATTTGATTCTTTTACATTATATAATCCTATATCTGAGTTGGAGCATGGATGTTCACCAAAGAAAAATTTAAAAATTTAAATCTTTGGCATAGTAAAATAATAACAGTTATAACTACAATTTTGGGTGTGATGGGGAATAAAAACTTTTAATCAGGACCAATTTTAATGAAATATCAGTCACTTATTTTGCTTGCTGGGTTGTATGCTACATGCTAAGAATAGTGGTGTTCTTCATTTCTTCAACATACTTAGACATTACCGAAGTCGATGTATTTGAGCCATGTTTCATTACCCCATTGTAAAAAGCTTTATTTTAATTACAGACAAGCCTTTATTTGTTTTCTCTTTTTAAAAAAATATACATGAGCTGGTTCAGACAAATAAATAAGTTAGTTTACTTTTTGAAGTCCCATCTCTGTGATTTTCTCCTGTTTTATCTTTTAGTCCTTTTTGCTGGGTTCCTGGGTTTTGTCAGCCTTGTTTGACTTCCTCCTCGTGGAAGCTATGCAGTACTCCCTTGGAATCACTGCAGCCACTAATTTGCCTTCTGGATTGTAAGTAGCTCTTACAGTTTGGCTTAATTTAGAACCACTAAAATCTCTTCTCAAATGTTGTTACGCAGGGAGCAATAAAACACTTTTAAACTTTTAGGTTTAGTAAAATTGAGTTTGTGTGTAAGAATGACTCAGTCTTTGCTTGTATTCTCATTATGTTTTTGTTGTAGAATCAGTTTTACTTAAAAATTTTTCTTTCTGATTCTAATTTCATATTTTAGATAATTTTTCATTGAACTTCCTATGGTGGTCTTAAAGAGAGAATCAATTTGTGTTATATTAGTGAATTATGTTCTTTGTACTTTTGTGAATTAAACACAAAAATACAAAATCTCATCAGGTTAGTTTAGGTAACATAAATTTGAGGTTAAACTGATAAAAATGATTATTAAAATAATATTGCTTCTACTGCCACCAAAGACAAAAAAAAAAAAAAATCAGTACATAGGTTCTAACTTTGTAGCTAACCTCCAAATGTCAACCTAATTAAAAAAGTATATGCTTTCCTATTGTGTTGTGATTCTTAGGAGAAAAGCAAAACAAAATAAATATATGTTACATGAAATAACTAGATTTAGGAGCAGAGTTATCAGTACATATAAATTGCCTTAAATAATTTTGGAATTAAGAATCTAGTATTAGATTTGGGAGATGAGATAGTATAAAATATAAATACTTATCTAACATTTTGTGTACTACGGCCTTATTATAATTTTAAAGATAATTTTTGAGAACTACTGGTTAATTGTGTAATCTTGATTTAAATTCACTTTAGAACTTAAAATTATAAATAATTGTCTATATTTGTATTGTTAATTTTTTATAATGATGTAGCTGCCCTTAATGGAAATTAACAAATCATAGTTGGCATGAGTATTAACCCTTACCAGTCTTAATAATGTATGATTTTGAATAATATTTTTATAGAGATTGATAAAGTTGTCTAATTATCATGAAGATTTTGTTGACTTCTATGAGTTGTAGTTTTATACTCATTCCTCACTTACCAACATACTTTGGTTCCAAAGACCAAGCTATGCAAAAGTAAGCATTTTGAAAAAATGCAGGGTGTCCACATCAGATGACAAATTGGAGGACCACTGCACTGTTACAGAACCACCGAGCTAGATCATTACAAAGTCACCAAGCCACCCAAGACGCATAGCCCAGCCCAGTGGACACATAACCAGAATCATCTCATTGCACCTTGATAGAATGTCAGATAATGAGAGTCAATAAGTGAGTAATCTGTATACTTAGACTGAGAAACTTCTATTGATTGTTCTGTTATTGTGGAAAAGAGTGTAGTCATCAGCAGTGATTTACTGTTGATTCAGAAGAGCAGCCAAGCCCGCTGTCATTAAGTTGATTTTGACTAATGACTACCCCTTTGGGCTCCCAATCCCAAGGCTGCCACATTTACAGGAGGAGAAAGCCTCATCTTCTCCCACTGAGCAGTTGTTGGTTTCGGACTGCTGACCTTGTGGTTTAGCAGTCCAACACATTCCTAAATAATCAGTTTTTTCCCCAAAACATATCTCATTCAGGCCAATTCTCTTGGTCTTCTGAGTTTAGAAATGTGTATGTGAGCCATGTGTGTTTGTATTAAAGTATTATTCTTTTCATTCTTATTTACATTGACCTCTTTTTGATGTATGAGAGTTGAAGGGCATTGATACTCATTTATTTTTTTATGGGAGATTTTATTAACTGGTATAGAAAGAGAATTGATTCAGTTTTGAAGTTGATAGAAATAGTTTTAATTGTACTAAAGGAAGAAAGGTGTTTACCTGTTTATATCTGTTTATACATCTGTTTGTAGCAAGAGGTGCAAACTTGAGTTATAGACAATATGATTCAATTAAGCTCTCACTTGGATGAAAATATCTCTTCCTTCTCAAGTTACTAAATATTACAGTATGGTTTTTTTTTAGAATTGTGAAGATTTCTTAAATAGAGACTTCTTGGAATATTTCCTGAACTAAACATTGACTTTAATCAATAAGCTTTGAATTTTGTAACTATATATTTATGATCCAAAACATCAACACTCAGGGAAGAAAGGAGACTACTTTCTGTATTTTCAGTGAAGAATGCCTTGCAGTATGGAGTGTTTTTCACCCAGCATTTTGCTTCTTTTGTCCATCAGTGCCAAGTTTATATGCATTCTCTACAATTCCTCACTTTCTGTTGAATGCTTTTTTTCCTCTCTTTAAATTTTAGTTATTTTATTGTTGTTGTTGAGAATATACCCACCCAAACATATACCAATTCGAGTATCTAATGTACCTTGTAGTGACCGTGGTTACATTCTTGAAGTTGTGCTCCCATTTTATGTTCCTTTTCTGAGACGGTCCTCCTTCGTTAATAGGAACCAGTTGCCTCCTATGATTCCTATTTATCAAGTTGCTGTTGTCAATTAGATCCCATATAGATAGTTCGTTTAAAGAGTATAATACTCAAGACAGACTTTTTCCTAGTTAAGCTAAATCATTGTGCAAATATCAGGGGATATTTTTAATTTAAGGTTTAAAGATTATATCAGGGAAATATTTTCAGGGTTCATCTCCCTCTCCCCCCATGGCTACACAAACTCTTGTGTCCATTAGAATTTGAAATTGCAGTCTTCATTTCCCCCTTTGATAAAGTGTGTGTGTGTGTGTGTGTATGTATGAGAGAGAGAGAGGGGCTTGGGCCAAAATGTTCAATAATGGTAGCTGGTCACCATCCAGTTCTTCTGGTGTCATGGCAATGTGGACAATTAGCCACACATTCCATATCCTCTTCTTCCTGACTGTCCTTCTGTGGCTTCAGGCGAATAGCAACCCATTATGCCTTGGATGTCCTCTTGTGTAGTATTAAATTAAAAGTGGCACGGTGGAGAATGGGGGGCCAGCCCCCACCCACTGATAATACTACCCACGGGTTCAGTAAGTACAATTGTACGGTTGAGATATATAAGTATTATATTAAACTCATCGAGAGCATGAGAGATAATACAATAATACAGTCAGACATATTACATAGTAGCATTGCTCACCTCCTCCCCGCTTGGTGGTCCTCGTGGGGGGAACCTGGCTGCCAGAGCAGGAGCCGCCTCCCTCGCGGGAGCTGCCCTCTGGTCCATCACCCTCATGGGAGCAGCCTTCACGGGAAGCAGCTCTCCTTCCTCAGCTGCCCTCTGCCGGCCACCCTCGGCCAGCCACCCTTGGCCAGCCACCCTCAAGAGCCAGGGAGCCTCCTTATTTATTGCTAACCACGCATCATATCACTTTAGGGGGATACATCACAGCATCATGCTTCACAGAGAGGGGCAATACAATTCACAACAACCTGCGTCATAGAGAGGGGTTGTAACATAGGCAATACAAGCAGTAGGAGGGGGATGACTTAGGGGTGAATGTACAATAGTAAGAGGAGGGAATAGGGGGGCATGTGTGGCAAGATAGTAGCCTAAGCTTAGTCATCTTAGAGTGGTCCTGGGCTTGCCTATGGGCCCTGCTTCAAGGGAACAATAACAGAAAGGAATGGGCCCTATTTGGGGTGAGTCAGACTGTACAGTCTGGCCGCTCTAGATGGCTGGTGTTAAGGAGAATAACCTCTGACCTATTTTCGCTGCCTAAAAAACAGTCATTCTCAAGCTAAGTCTGGCATATATTTTGGGGAGACAATTTAAGAGAAATCCTTCTGTTCCTCACACTCTTGCAAGATTTTAAGGCCCCAGGCACCCTATAATGAACTAAGAGGTAGAACAGAAGCACTCAATATGTTACTACACCATTTAACTGATGTCTCCTGAACCCATCACCCTCAACCTTCAAATAAAGGAATCCGCTCCCATGAGGTATTGTGTGTACAGAAGCAGCCTCAGCAGCTGCTCTTCCTTTTTCCTTCTGTTGTCATTGTTCTGAATGTATCTATGAGTCAGAACTGGTGTGATGGTAGTGAGATTGGTTTGGATCACACACATTTCGCCAATTCAACTTTTTACAGTTGCACAATTTATTGACAGTAATCACAATGATCTACTGTATAACCTTACCCTTAATCAATGTGATTTTCCCATCCCTGTTAACCCCCTTTTCTCTGTCTCTCCTGACTCACCAATAAAACTTTGGCCTCTATTCATTTGCATTTTCTTGTCTTTTTATTATACAATATTTGACCTTTGGTGATTGGCTGAGTTTGCTCATGTAATGTCTTTAAGCTCCATCCCTACTGTAGCAAGATTTCATTTCTCCTACTGGCTAATAGTCAATTGTATGTGTTTAAGCAGGAAGTTTGAGCCCTCCTATTTATTGTTCCCTGTCAACATTCTTCAGCTATTTGGACCTCTTTTCACTCCTCTGAAACTTTGGTTTGTGTTGTTCTGTTTGGTTTTTGCTTGTCCATATTAGGATGTATCTCATAGGTGTCATGTCATTGAAGGTCACTCTCTTCAAGTTGTGTTATATGTAACCCAGGATTGATGAACCTATAGAGGCAGCAAGTAGAATAAGGGCTTTTTTTGGGGGGGGGGGGGGGGGCGTGGGGGGGAAGAGGAGATGATGTCAACGGGTCCATGTAGAAAATGAATGTTTGGAAACTGATTGTAGTAGCAATTGTACAATTCTGCTTGACATGATTGAATATGGAATAATATATATATGTGTATATATACATATAAATTTAAAAAGTACAAGAAAGAAAGAAATTAAGTTGAGGATTGGCTTTTCTGTTTCTGTATAAAAGGCTGTTGAAATTTTAATAGGACTTGCATTGCATCTTTGGGTGTTATTGCCATCTTAACAATATCAAGCCTTCCAATCAGTGAACATGGAACATCTTTCTATGTATTAAAATTTTCTTTAATCTCATTCAGCAGTGTTCTATAGTTTTCATTCTGTAACTCCTTTACATCTCTGGTAGATTTACTAGGTATTTTATTTTCATAAATGCTATTGTAAATGGTACTGTTATCCTAGTTTCACTTTCAGACTCTTCATTGCTGATGTTTCGAA